TCTCTCCCTCCTGCCATATCTCCTGCAACCAGAATAAAGCCTGACATATAAAAGTTCTTAATAGTTACAAGCTAAATGAGTTATGAATTAACTAGTTGAGTCTTGAATGCAAATCTTTGGTGCTAGTAGTGTATTATCTTCAAATGTTAACAGCCACTAGCTTTCAAAGATTTTAATTAAAGCCTTCCTGGAGTAGAACAGCTAAGAGTTTTTATTACTTGTGAATGTTAATTTTTCTCTATCCCAGGACCTACATTGGCATCCCACAGATACAAAGGTCATACATACCAAAATGCTGCTCAAAAACTTTCCATAGTGAAACATCAGAGTGGGGAATGGGCCATTCTGTTGTCTGTTGCGACGTGACTTCGAGTCAGAGGGATACCACTCTCTTTTAGCACTGAGGCGATGTGTATTCAGCTCTTGGGTAGGACATTTTCAGTAGTTTCCATGGAGACTTTACTGCACCATTCTCAGTAACATGCATTTAGAACATCTCCACCAATACAGATTATAGGCAGTGGGATTTAAAAGCTGTTCTTAAGTTTATAGAATTGCTGGTGCTTTGTGGATGTTTGCTAAGCTTTTGAAACTATTAGTAATAAGTGGACCTTATGGAAGAAATCTTTGGAGAAAACATAATAGTATAAGAAAATAATGTCTGTTCCTGGTGAGTCAGTTCCTATTATCTTTCCATTTTGAGAAATTAACTTTGGTTCAATTGAATTACCATGGTGATATGTTTGCATTTCAACAAAACCAAACTCAACCACAAACTAGAGCTCCACACACCCAGCTCCTGTTCTCGGCTTTTTATTGTGGTAGCTTTGAATCAAATCTCTAATGTCCTGGTTAAAAACCTCCTCCTCCAAGATTTCTCAGCAATATTTGTTTTCAATCCAACAAAACAGTCTGGATTGGTCATGTCAGAATTAGGAGGAGTAACATAAAGATGAGTGGGTATTGGAGAGGAGGAAAATAGAAAAAAGGCTCACAGATGAAGAGAAATATATTTGCTCTCTAAAATAACGCTCTCTAAAATAAAGCAATGGGGATTTCAGCTCCCTGGTACTTGCATGCATGGCTGGGCCCGCTGAGGTCTGAGACCAGTAAACCTACGTAGGGTTGTCAGGGAAGGCAGCCCTCTCTCAAAGGGGAGCTCAAGAGCATGGCTCCTACTATTTATGAAACTTATTTGCTCCGTGGAATAATAATAATATTATTATTATTATATTATTTGGCAACTAAATAAACTCTTCAGGAGATGGGTTTTGAGTTCTTCAGAAATTCCTGTAGTCATCCCCATCCGGACAGGAGAGATACTTCTGCATGTTACCTTGTATGTAAGAAGCAGGGAAGGGCATACTGTCTGGTCTAACCAAACAACAGTGTGAAGACAAGGTAGGGATGGAAACGCATGAGCATCCTACTGTTTCTGCCGCATACTGAGGGCAGATCAGACTTTCTCTTCCCAGACAGCAGTTTTGTTAGCCTCAGGATACATGAGCTCTCAGCTCTCACAGAGTGTTCTGCTAGCTCCTCTGCTGGCAGGTATCTAAGCAATATGATCATGCCTAGCACGTCCACCGCGGAAGGCCAGCTCACTTCTGTGAGTGGTGCGGAACCCGCCCGAGAACTGCAGACAGACAGACTTGCAGGCAGTGGGTTTGGGGAAGCAGGGAGAACCCCTCTGCAGCTGGTTGGTGACAGCCCAGGCATTATCTGCAGCTCCTGGCACTTTCAGGAGGAGGATGAAAAGCAAGGGGGGAAATGAATAGAAAGACAAACAAAAAAGCTTCCCAGATTGTGTACGGAGTAGCTGAGAGCCTAATTTGGAGTTGGCTCTGCTTAGACAGGGAGAATGAGGATTTTTCTGTCTTTGAAAGTGAGGTAATTGTACTAGATAATGTATCCAGAAAGGGAAAAACCAACAGTGAGCTGCTGAAGCTAAACAAAGATTATGTTAAGGGAGAAATCAGGGTGCATTCCTCAGCAGCAAGAGCAGTATTGTCTGGGTCTGCTTAACATTTAAGCGAAGATTTGAACTTTTTATTAAAATGCCTGCTAATCACTGAACACGGCACTCTGTTTATCCACTCTTTTGAACAACCCTGTAGGGCTGGCTGTTTTATTCCCATTTTGTTGAAGATGAAACTCACGTGTAGACAGGTTTTTTGAAACAGGTCTCATTATGTAGTGCAGCCTGGCCTTGAGGTCCTTTCACATAGCCCACACTGGTGTCAAACTCACTGCGATCCTCCTGCCTCAGCCTCCCAGGAACTGGGATTACAAGTGTGCACCACTACTTCTAGCAGTCACTCAGTTCTTTAGCAGTAGACAGGAGATGTGTCTCGGCCAGCTTGCACCTCGCCTTGACTCTGGGTTCTTCCACATGATTTCACACCACAGGTGAAGTTGTAGAGTGAATGGGGAAGAGACCTGAAGACCCCTGTGTGATCTCTGAGATGGTGTGTGGTTTTGCAGTGAAAGCTATTGCTTAAAATTGTCCAACTGAGGCAGCTGTTTTGTTTTTATCTCAAAGGCAGCAGAAGCAGGGGTGTCCAGAGTAACAGATATGTGTTGGTAAAGCCCTATACTTATACCTTTTCTTTTATAATGAAGTATGGGTGTACACATATGTACTCACATGCACATGAGCATGGGCACAATGCATTTGCATGCGCATGTATACATACACACACACACACACTCTTTCTTTCTTTCTTTCTTTCTTTTTCTTTTTTTTTTTTTTTTTTTGCCGAACCGGGGATTGAACTCAGGCCCTTGCGCTTGTTAGGCAAGCGCTTATTCTACTGAGCTATCTCCCCGGCACTTACCTCGCTTGTACACTCTGCAGTCGATGATGCAGCTAGGACGCCGCCGTGTGGCTCCTGTCACCTCTGCCTTCTCTTCCACCCAGCTCGGGTCTGGCCTTTGTCATCTTCTCTCTGCCCATCTCAGGAAGCCCGCGCACATCTCCAGCTTCCCCCGAACTCACAGTGCCTCTTTGCCAACCTCAAGCTCATTTATATTGCAGTTGTGTTCCCACCCTAATTGGTAACTTAACAAGGGTCACACAAACATTTAATTCACTCTAATTTCATCATGCATCTGAAGAGGACAGTTCATGGAGGGGGAGATAGTACTCCCATAGCCAGCAGTTAGATTAATTTCGTCTTCCTTTTGGCTTTGGGCTTTTGTTGCGTGTTTGTGAGCAAAGCCTGGCTAATAAGTTCCTGGATTCTCAGAAGGACTCAGCTGCCCCCAGAAAGCCCTTCCCAGTTACCTAATATGGCAATTCATGAAATGGGCAAAGTATTTTCTATAGTTCACAGGTGGTTAATCTAGTCAGGACAGTTGCAGATGGGGAAAGAGTGCTGTTTCTGTATGACCTTTCAGCACCACCAATGGGCTGCAGGTTGTCTGCTGGTGGCTTTGCTCAGCGTATGAGGAAAGGACCATGGAAAGGCACAGATCAAATGCTTTTCTCCATTTTTCTTCCTGTAGACCAAGCACCCTCTGAGGACTCAGACCACGTGACTCCTTTTTATATATCTGTACCTTTTCCTGGGCAGCTCACCTAGTCACTGCTTTTGTTCCCAGTCTTCCGCCCTGGAAGGGACACAGAACGGCCTGCTCTTCACTGGGAGAGAGTCTGGTGTGTCTTGTGCTAGGGAAAGACAACTTTGTGTGGCCACTTTGAGCTGGTACATTGTTCAATTACTTGAAAACTGTTTTCATCATTAAGCACGGAGCTGAGAGTTAATTACATCAGAATTCTAATCTTGGCTCTGCCCCTAATTAGCAGTATCATTTTATGCAAGTCCCTGAACCCCTCTTGGCTTTTGTTTTGCATCAGTAAAAATGCAATATTTGGGAGCAGAGCCCTCTGTGTGTTCTGGGATTCTTTGCCTTCTGACTTACTAGAAGGCAAGGTGGCTTATACAGTGGAGATTTCCTGTATTGTCTCCAGTGTGATGTGCTGTACCAAAACCCAACCTAGGCAGTGTAGATAGATCATGCACGCTAATATTAAACATATATTTCATGTATTCTGCTAGTGTGGGGAGCCAAGGACTCCTGGTTACAATCTCCAAGGCCAGTGCTGGAGAAGACCTGGATTTGTGTTACTTAGAGGCACTGCAGGGGTGAGGGGTCTCCAGTGCATTGATGAGGCTGCCAGTGGTGTCACTTGTCCACCTCTTAGACCCCTGGCACAGTTCCTTTGTGCCAGCACCTAATTCCCATCCAAATACATTTTTACTAACTAGCTGCTGATGCTCGGAAGCTGGCTTGAGATGAAGCTCCTCCTGCGGCTGCAGATAGTGGCTCTGTCCCTCCTTCCTGTCTTGTGGGTAATGCAGCCAGTAAACCTGACCGCTACAGCATTGTCTTAAACAAGCATGTTTAAAAATAAAAGTGTGTTATAAATATACAGCTTCTGTGGTGGGAAGGATTGTGCAGAAATGCTACAATGCCTGACTGTAGCTTGTCGCTGGAGTGTCACATGGGGGTAGCTGTGTCTTTCTCTTCATCGGTCCACACACTGGCCTGGCTCAGGTCCCCCCCCCATGTCTTTGTTACAAGAGAAACTGGGTGCAAATCTGTCACTGCCACTATAAAAAGAGTATCAAACTTCTGCCCCTGCCCCCTATGGAGGGCCTGTGATGGTACATGAAAAATGACAACAAACTTTTCTTGGGAAATAATTATGTTTGCACTGCTGAGGAGCTCAGAATCAGTATTTTTACTGCAGCAGAGCCGTGCAAGGAATGTTCAAAATATAAGTTAAGTTTTAACTTGGGGAAGCCGGAGAACCTCCTCAGCCACCTGCAAATTCTGTGCATTTTTCTAGGAAAGAATTCACAGCTTTCTGCCGTCCAGCCTGTGATTAAGGAAATGTGAAACTCACCGATGGCACGTTTCTCTGTGCTTCTGTCTTCTGAATCCAGGCGATGACACTGATTTGCCTATCAATCTTTCTCCTTGGCTTTTTCTAGAAGAAACAAGTGAGCCAGACCAAGATCCGGGTCATCTCAACTATCCTGTTCATCTTGGCCGGCTGCATCGTGTTTGTGACAATCCCTGCTGTCATTTTCAAATACATCGAGGGATGGACAGCGTTGGAGTCCATTTATTTTGTGGTAGTCACTTTAACCACAGTGGGCTTCGGTGATTTCGTGGCAGGTAAGTACCTTGGGGGTCCTAGTCATTATGGCCCTAGGGAAGAAAGTCATTTGTTGGCTGAGCCTTTCCAAATCACCATATTTCTGGAAGAAATATATGAAAAATGAGCATGTTCCAGCAGCAGCAACAAAAAGAAAAGGAGAAAAGTAACAGCAAGCATTCCCTAAAATCTAGCAATATTGTTGGCTTGATGGCTGGGGGCCCCAGATGAGCAGACAACACTGAAGGAGTCATTTCATCTGTATGATCCTTGGCCCCATATCCTTAGGTTTCCCAGGAGGAAATGCTTCTTTTACTTACATACACTAATTTTCATATAAACGAAGTTTGCATTTCTGGGACTTAAATCCCAGTTAATCTGGGTATATAATGTGTGTTTTTTATGTTGCTGGATTTCACTTGCTTGCATTTTGTGGTGTTTATATTCATTTTTGTCTGTGAACAAAAAGGAAGTAAACATGTTGATCAAACAATTCTTTGATAAGTTTGAAATATTTAGGGAAAGAGAGAGGGAGGGAGAAGGAGGAAGGTAGGGAGGGAAAGAAAGGGAAGAGAGAGAGAGAGAGAGAGAGAGAGAGAGAGAGAGAGTGAGAGAGAGAGAGCGAGAGAGCCCTTGTCCAGTTATTCCTGGTTAAAGCAGCTGCACATCTGCAGGCTGAGCTTGGAGAAAGGCCATTCTTTATGTCTTTATTCAGCATGTGATCCCTTCAGTGTCTTGGCTTCTTTGTGGAGCACAGCACGCATACAGAAGATGGGGTCTGGGAGGGAGGTTGGAGGCTCATTAACAGGACCATGGGTACCTCTGTGTTAATTTTGTGACAGACGAATAGCAGAACGCTTTGGTCGCTATTCCAGCTGGGCAGCTGAAGACTGAAGCCCACTATGTAGAAATGGTAGTGCTTTTTCCCCTTTCCTTTTTATGGATTGTGGATGAACAACTGTAAAGTCAAAGTAATTAAAAATTGTTTCTAGGAAACCTGGGATTGGGATTCTACCAATCTTTCCTCACTCACAGTTCTCAACTATTTTTGTCAGATTCGAAGTCTTAGCTGTGGAGAGAAATCACACAGGAAAATTAAGCTAAATACGAGAAACAGTTGTAATGTTATCAGATTAATTCTTTAGCTGGCCCATGGGAAAGCTGAGTTTTGATTCCAATCTAAGGTAAATACAGGTAAGAGCAGATGCGAGTTTAGAGCTTTTAACCAACATTTTGAGTATCTCAAAGCATAATATGCAACAGAATTTCACTTCAGAGCTCTCTGTGCTAGAACCAGGCTGTCCTGAAGACTGTGTATTGTAGGACACTTAGGACAGAACCTGTAGCATAATCAATAGCTTAGGTCAGTCAGTCAGGTTAATCTGGGGGTGCAAGTCGCAGACCCTTGACGTAGGATTTAAAACACTATGCCTTTTAACGAACGCTACTATTACCTTGGGCTGAACTCTTGGTACATGTGGGCAACTCACCTTGTCTTTACCTGGGGAAGATAGCAGCTTTGCCATCCCTGGTGCCCACACTTCTTTAATTCCCTTAGTGGCAGGTTCATACAGAGCTACATTTTCTTTGTTCTTAAGTCCAGAGCCTCTTACCACTCCCGGAACTGATTGCAATTAGACCAGAACCTTCTAAGTTCCAGTTCCTAGAGCTTACACTGACCAACGTGGAGAATGTGCTCTTTGAAAGAACAGCAGTTCGTTCCTACTTTTTTTTTAAAAAAATGCAGTCATTTCTGAATATCTGGAGTACTGGCTGTAGGAGTCCTGCATTATGTTGGATTGGTTTACGGAATGATGACAAGGGAAAGACTGCATGTCTGTGGCCATGTTTTAAAAAATTATATTTTAAGGGCTGGCGAGATTGCTCAGCGGACTAAGTGCCTGCTTTGGCAAATGCAGGGACCAGGGTTTGATCTCTGGTCCCGAATGCCCTGCCGGCCCCACCCCTGGGGTGCACTGAGCCACTAACGAGTCCAGGCATGGTGGTACACATCTGTAATCCTAATACTGGGGAGGCTGAAAACATGAGGATCACTGTGAGTTGGAGTTGCGTGGTGAGACCCTGTACCACATACATAAAAACGAAAAAAAAATTGAATTATGTTTTGACATGGCTTTGGTTTGAGTCAGCGGATGTAGAACCCATGGGTACAGATGATGGCCTACTCCTTCAGAGTGATAGGGCAGGATGCCCAGTCATTACAACGAGATGCACATCTAAGAGTTGGTCGTTGGTTGCTGTGCTCTGACATGGTATTATCAGCTCTACTAGAAATGTGATCGGAGCATTGATCACAAGTATCGATTGCTGTTTGTTTTGTAGCTGACCCGCTTTGGGACGGCCTAACTCCAGTGCTGTGTTTTACAACCCTGGCTGGGAGCACATGCAGAACTTCTTCCTGTTCCAGACTGGCTACGGATGAAAAGATGCTCAGAGGAGGGTTCACTAGCGCACCCTAGTGACGGTCTTGATGGAGTGATTATGATTTGGAAAGAATCTTTACTCTTGACAGCCAACGGGAGAAAACTAGAGTTTTCTGGTCCTGCCTGGAACATGAACCTCAAAAAACATGTTATGATGTTGTAGGAGTTCAACTTATACCCTAAAGAAAGCGGCAAGGATAGTTAGTTGCCTATGGGAAAGAATGGAGGCAGTTAAACCAAAGGGGGTTTGATCCAGAGTCCTACAGCAGTGTTTGAAATTCTAACTCAGGGAAGCAGAGTAGCTGTCAAGGCCTCATGGGCTCATTTCATGGAGGGTGTGGGCAGGTCGAGAAGAGGTACAGGTCCCAGTGTGTGTTGCGTTGGCTTCTTCAGATACTTTGAATGCTAGAACACTGTATGGCTTTAGTCAGGCTAGATGTGGCTCCAGTCACATGCTTGGAAAGTGGGGCCACTTCTCATCACGTGGCACTTTATTGCCACCACGTAGCTGGTGCCAGTCATCCTGGAATGGTCCTGCCTCGCCTCCCTGGGCCGCAGCATCTCCCATAGTGAGGACCAGGCTGACATCTGCTATGTTGCTGCACTTCCTGACTGTTCAGGAGAGTGTGGTAGGCTCAGAGGCTATGTATCAGAACCACTCTCAGCGGTACTTGTGAGAAGGCTTGAATAAATAGACTAATTATTTGGAATAAATGACCAGTCCTTTCAACAGAACAGCCAGTCAATACCTTCAGGCAATTGACCAATTTGGTTTGATAGATTTTTACTGTAATCCTTATTTATAAAATAAAGGAATTGGACTAGTTGGCCTCAAAGGTCCCCTTTAGTTCTAATCACTCAATCAGATTGACCCTTCGGATCTGCATCATGTGTACACCACTCCTCAGCTAGCATTAAATAACGAGTTTGTGGGTCAAAGTCTCAGTAATGCCATTATGCCTGTTTATTCCCATATAGCCACTTATCTGTCAGTAAATATATGTGAGTTTCAGATGGAAATGGTTCTAGGAGTTCCAGTCTATTACAGACGTTGTATAATATTTGATTTTTATTAAAATAAATTTAGAGAAATTAAGATGAAAAAGACAGTGTTGATCTGTGGAGCACCAACATAAAATCACTCATTTGTTACTGGTGTTCAGGGTAAGAACAGGTGAGTCAGGCTGACGACTGTGTTTTCCTATTGCAGGTGTTAAGGCTATCGGTCAAGAATCAGAGAAACTGAGGCTCGAGACAGAGTCTGTAGGAGAGGATCTGTCTTTTCCTTGCCCTCCAGTTTTGCCTTGTGTCTACCTGGCCAACACCTGAGGGTTGGATGATGGTGGAATGACGTCTCTGTGAAACACTCGCTCTTTGGGAGCATACACTGGGCTGTGGTTAAAGCAGTGTTTGTCATTTGCAGGGGGGAATGCCGGCATTAATTATCGGGAGTGGTACAAGCCCCTGGTGTGGTTTTGGATCCTTGTTGGCCTTGCCTACTTTGCAGCTGTTCTCAGTATGATTGGAGATTGGCTGCGAGTTCTATCCAAAAAGACAAAAGAGGAGGTAAGAGCCTTTCCAGACTGCATGGTTATTCTTTTTTTTTTTTGTACCAGGGATTGAACTCAGGACCTTGCACTTGCCAGGCAAGTGCTTATTCTACTGAACAATCTCCCCAGCCCTTGCACAGTTATTTTTGATTTCAGGTTAGCCTGTCTGTGTTCCGGGGCTGGAGACTTTCTAACTCAGACAGGGCTCGTGTGGCTTCTTCATTTTGCATCTTTACCTGACAGCCAAGTTGAATGGAGTAAGAATTACTTCTAGAACCTTTGGACAGGTAGGGAAATGTGGTGATTCATTCACCAGCCCATAATCCAGGAGAGACTAGTAAACAACAATTGGTTTTTAAAAAGTATAAATGAAAAGGGAAAGCATAGAAATAGTAAGCAAAGGCCCTTGATTGCAGATCACCTAGGAGCTGTGTATTTGCCTATTAGCTGCAAATACGTGGGGAGGCTTAGACTTCTCTGATGGATCCCAGGAAACTGGCCTGTCCCAGGTCTTGGGAGTCTATAAGGAGACAAATGAAACACCATGCGACTTTCTCTATTCAGTGTGAGGCTGAGGCTGTCCAATGGTGGCCAGCCACAGAGAAGTGGACTCCAGGGATCTCTTTAGGGGGCTTGCGGGTTAGCTCAGTTGTTTAAGTGCCTGCTGGGGCAAACCCAGTCAGGCGCAGGGGACTGTGGTTCGATCTCTAGCTCCCCATGCCTTACCAGACCCACGCCTAAGGCAGCCTGAGCCAACAACAACAACAAAAAATCCTTCTCAGGGGATCTCTTTCCTCTGTATCTTCTGTCTCCCCATGTGCTATCAGATCCACACAGATTCATGTCTATGGCTAGGGGCATGTGGTCTGAACTCTTTTACATAAATTTGTGTAAGAATCGACAAAAAGATGAGAGATGATAATCTAAGAAGGGAAGATAGTCTCTGTAATTAAAAAAAACCCATGTTCTTTTAGGAATACAAGAAAAGAATTAAGAAAGCAAGAGGGCAATGGAAGAGGATAGAAAGTCAAAGAAAGGAACAGAGAAGAAAACCCAAAGGAAACAGGAGAGGGATAGACAGCCGTTCACTGTATATTAAGGGCCCTGGGACAAATTTGCTGAGGGGGAAATTTCCCTGATGATTCCTGGGCCTCTATTTATTTTCTTGGATTGTGTAAACACTGTCAATGCCATTTCCAGTCTGAATCCCAAGATCAGCAATAATGAAAGAAGGGGGAAGCACACACACACACTTGATTCCCCCAAATGCAATAATTTGAGGCAGTCATCTCTGTAGGGAAGGGTGGCGCTTTGATTATCTACTGTTTTGACTAAAAGCTAAAAAGAAATTGGGCACTGATGTTGAGGCTAGACTTCACTGTCTAAGAATATGTTCTGTGGCCTTCGGCACAAGCCACCTGGTCCCTGAACCCAACAGGGAAGTATGATCACCAGGTGCCCTGGAGCATCTTTGTCATCCATGGCAAGCCCCGCCACACATGGCTATAACATAGCTAGACATCAGGTAACCAGTGGTTCCAGTTTGCCTGGGACTTATGGAAATTCCTAGGCCATAGGATATTCTATTTTAAAACCAGGAAAGTCTCAGCCAAACTGGGCCAGGTTGGTCACCCTACCTAGATGGAGAGATTAGAAGGCCTGCTGAGTACTTGCTTTGTCCTTAGCATGGAGCTAGGTGCATTTCCTTATATAGTGATAAAGATCCTGTGAGTTAGATATGGTTTATATGGGAGGAAGTAGTCCATATTCTTTGTAAAAGGAGTGAAAACACAACCAGAGCCCCAAATATCAATCTCTCTTCTAGCATTCTGGCCATCTGTCTTTTAGCCACTGCCTCTCAATCTCAGGTGTCCTTTGGGTTCCCACATCAGCCACTGGCTAGCTGAGGTTGGTGTCTGAGGGGAAATCCTAGGACAGAGGTAGTACTTCACCCCTTTCCCTGGACACAAGCTTCTCATCCCCAGCCTCCCGAGAGATAGTTTCTCCATCTGGGCTCCCAAGGGTTGTGGGTGCTGAGAGGTCACAGGCAGAGAAGAGGTTTTCAGTGTGTTCTTGCTGTTTCACTCCTGGCCAGGTTGGTGAGATCAAGGCCCACGCAGCAGAGTGGAAGGCCAACGTGACAGCCGAGTTCCGGGAGACGAGGCGGCGGCTCAGTGTCGAGATCCACGACAAACTGCAGCGGGCGGCCACGATCCGCAGCATGGAGCGCCGGCGACTGGGCCTGGACCAGAGAGCCCACTCGCTGGACATGCTGTCACCAGAGAAGCGTTCCGTCTTTGCTGCCCTGGACACGGGCCGCTTCAAAGCCTCATCGCAGGAGAGCATCAATAACCGACCCAACAACCTGCGCCTTAAGGGGTCGGAGCAGCTCAACAAACACGGGCAGGGCGCCTCTGAGGACAACATCATCAACAAGTTCGGGTCCACCTCCAGACTCACCAAGAGGAAAAACAAAGACCTCAAAAAGACCCTGCCTGAGGATGTGCAGAAAATCTACAAGACCTTCCGGAATTACTCCCTGGATGAGGAGAAGAAAGAGGAGGAGACTGAGAAGATGTGTAACTCGGACAACTCCAGCACAGCCAGGCTCACCGAGTGTATCCAGCAGCATGCAGAGATGGAGAACGGCATGGTACCCACAGACACCAAAGACCAGGAGCTAGAGAACAACTCTTTACTTGAAGACAGAAACTAAATGTTAAGGACACTGGATGAGGACTAAGTGTTGTGTGGTCTTTTGTTTTATTTTTTAAATATTACACTGAGACATGTGCCTTAAACAGACTTCTTGTTAGTCCAAAATTACATAGCATTGAAGAATATATTTCACTGTGCCATAAATGACTGAGAGCTTGCTCTGCCAAAATGAATCAAAGAACAAGAACTTCATTTCAAACAGCAGCTGCGGGACACACAGGGGGCATTCACACACGTAGCAGGTTGGGGCTGCACATGGGAAGGGGGTTCCCATAGCGATGCTGTGCCGCCGGGTGGTGTCGCCTCAGCTCGGCGTGCAGACAAGGGCAGCTATTCCTTAGACTAGCCTCTGAAGGGAGCAGGTGTGTCTGGAGCTTCTTTTCCAGAAGCTGCCATCACTCACCAAAGGGGGGCCTGTTTGCTGGTGAACTGGTAACCGTAACTAGGTTTAGAGCTCCCATTTTGGCATGTGCTCTGAACTTGAACATTGACACACGCTGTTCAGTGCAGAACACGCTTTCTGAGGGCGAAGTGAATGTTTGTGGGACCTGAAAGCACCTGGAATTTTTTTTTCTGGAAGCAAATCAGAGCACATATATTAAAAGGTGCAATTGCTTTTCTCATTACACAAGAAAAAACGATCACAAACACATCACACTGTGGAGATCACCTTAACCAATGAAAGAAGCCTACTAAGTCGTGTCTTTCTCACAGGGCCAGGTATTCCAAGGGAATGTGTAAGCGTTGGTCAAAAGCCAACCTCAGTCACTGCGTGGTTAAAGGCGTCATGCGCTTTCGCCAGTGGGTGTGATGGTGAAAATAAACTGATTTTAAAATGTTCACATTCGCTTTTCTACTGAAACCTAAGTTATAACACATTTTGATAAGAGAGGAAAAAAATACCAAAACTATTGCCTTGCATGATGCCAGTGACTTGCTGTTCTGTCTAGCTGATTCTAAATTTTTATACAAATAGACATCCTGCATTTCTGAGACACACCAAGAAGGACCATGGCATCTTTCCATCTCAGGGCTTTCTGTCCCTTTGGGTGTCTTGGGTAGACCTAGTCATGAAACCTAAACTTGCTGTTTGCAAACAAAAGCAGAATTAATCTTTCAGTCAACTCTTGTAAAATCGAAATGTTTTGCTTGTAGCTTAAGTGCCATTAATGCCATTTGCAAAACAAGACTTAAAAAAAGAAGTATTTCCGATATTTCAGTTTGCTTTTATGTTTGGTTGTTCCTTTCTTTGAGACGCATTACTTGCTGGATTATCTCCCACCTGTTGTTCTCTAAAACTGGAAAACTCCTGCGACTGATTGTTTCAGGGCAAACAGTAAGCAACAGGTGATGATTATGATGTGCTGTAAGAACATTTGGTGAAGGTAGGTGGGGAGCGGCTAGTTGTAGGTTTTGAGAGGGTGATTCTTATCAGAGAGAGGAAGAAAGAATAGTAGACCATTATTCATGTGTGTTCCTGTTTTTATCTTAATTGGCTGGCTGTCACGTTGGCTCAGAGTTGGCTGTTTGGGTCACATACTCAAACGCCTGCACCTGGTCATACCAGGAAGTTGCTGGTTGTGGGCCTTCCACCTACTGGGGATTTCATATAACTCATCCACACGGTGGGTTTACCAAAAGATCCCAATACAAGCAGAGACTTCCATAAACCAGCCAGGGCTGTCTGACTTGCAGGACAAAATTATGCCCACCACAAAGACTCTTCTCTTATTATTCCCCCTAGAGTGACAGGTGTCTGTTGCCTGCCTGGCCCCAAACCTGTAGTCTCAAGTGAAAGTTCTGGCATTGTTTTTGAGAAGGATTCAAATCAGATTCACTCTGGTGAGGCCTTTCCTGTCCAGTGCAGGTTTGGGTTTACTCCTTCACTTGGCTGGAGCTATGGCTCACTGGTGACACCCAGTGTTCACATGTTAGACATCTGGGATGTGATGTGTATGTGGGCATGGATGGTGGTTTTTACTAAGGGTGTCGTTCCAGCTTGATCCAACAGTTTTAAGACATTGGGAGATAACAGATTTTCCTGTTCAAACTTTTGGATTGTGCTCATTTGAGTTTCTACTCAATAGACCATGGGTACTTCTTTATAGTAATGTGTTAAAATTGCAGGACCCACAGCCAGATCTGGCGAAGGGGCTTCCCTAACATTTATCCAGTGCCTTCTGGGGACCAGGCATTGGATTAGGCACTTTATAGCTGTCTGTTCGCTGAATACTCACAACACCACAGGGGAAATATTTGCAAACACATTATATAAATGAGGACATGGAGGCTCAGGGAAGCTGAGTAACTTACTGAATGGCACGCAGCAAGAAGGTGGTAGAACTGGTATTATTTAAAGTATGACCAAAGTCTGCTTTCAACTTTGCTATCATGTCTGTGTCATGCACCCTTGTGAATGTGTGTGTGTGTGTGTGTGTGTGTGTGTGTGTGGTGTGAACATGTGTCTTTCAAACTTCATTGACACAATTTACAGAGGGCCAGGGAATGTACAGAGGAATCTTCACTTTGCAGAAGGTGGAAGATCTTTGTTCAAAGGTTGCCCTACTGTGTGTGATCTTAGTCTTATTTTGGGGAATGCTGCACATGGCACTTTTCTGTATAGCTGAGAAAACACCCTGTGAGAGCACTCTTTTGCACTTTACTTGCTTATCTTGCAGGAATTTCACATTCAGCAGGACTAAACCCATTCAGAGAGCACTGAGGTGGATTTGCCACCAAATAGGACAGGTGCATGCGTTGGTGTGAGCATAGATGCTTCCTTCCCCAAAGAGTCAGATTACAGTAATCCAGAGTCAAAAATAGCCTTGGGTTGGGAGTGCAGAAATCTTTGATACATCCTCTTCCCTGAGCACATTGGGAACAACACCCTGTTGAATAATGTCAAAGATGACCTTCTGTGCAGATTGATCTGTGAGTTATTTGAGACAAGTGTTTTGAAATCTATGAAGTACTTTTTTTTAATAGGGAAAAACACTAAGAGGGAATAAAAACTTGGATTTCTCTTTGTGGGTACAAATTAAGATTTGAGGATTTAGCTGTTTTGGTTACTTGAATGTTAACCCTTTTAAAGACGGGGCAAAGAGGATGCAGAATGGACACAAGGCAAAGCTGCTACAGGGTGTACGTGCAGCACACAGCTGGCCCCCTTCAGTCTGCATTCCCACCCTAGTGAAACCTGGAATGACCATTGTGGTGTTGCACACAGAAAAATCACATGTTCAGTACCTTCTGTGGACGCTTTCATCTCCTTCATCTTGTTGTTGGGTACTGAGTTTTATTCTCAAAACACATCTGGAGGTTTACAGGTGAGAGCCAAGGACAGTTTGGAGAGACTAAGCTAGCTCATTGCCTAGTCCTAATCCAATATCCAGTAGTGATTCCAGCAATCTTTCATATTTTTGGTAGAACTGTATAGCGTGTGTGTGTGTGTGTGTGTGTGTGTGTGTGTGTGTGTGTGTGTATGTCCCCAGCCTACCACTGAGCTAACTGGGGCTACTGTCTGCTCCTCCAGTCACAAGGTGATTGTGGGTACCTCAGTTCTTTGTACCTCATGCGTGTATCAAGGGAGCTGAGCACAGATAGTCGTCGGGGGCCCTTTTTGTTCTGCGGTTCTCTGGTGAAACATTCCCAAGTTCATGAGCTTATTAAATTTATTAAGAGAGTTATAAGTTGGATTTGTGGATACTGATTAATGATCTTACCTGTTTTGGGGTGAGAGCATGGTTTCCTGTCCTTTGTTTTCTGGGTGATTGAGGGAGACAAGATGTATATGGGAGACTGGTTTCCAAATTAGGATCATGCCTAGTAGAGGTCTCTCTACTCTCCCTTGTAACTCCTGGCACTCTGTCCCATGGAGGCTCATGCTATGTGGGCATTTGCATTTTTCGCATGGTGTTAAAGCTAGTTAAAGAATTTTAAGCTATTGCTATTTACAGTCAGTGGTACTACAAGTTCCCTTTGATTACTTCATGGACTCATATACTTCCCCTTCACACACACACACACACACAATGGCTGCTCTGGGTTCTATGGGGACCACTTCACGTTGGAAGTCCTGGTTGTGCTAATCTTTGGCACCTGCCCCCTTGCCTCCCTCTTAGATGACATCACTTCCTAAATAAGTCAGGGCTGCATATCTGTTTGTATGCTTGGTTTGGGGGATTAGTGAGAATGTGGCCAGGATTTGAGAAGGGCAGGTTGTGACTCCCTAGACTGCATAAGAATGTGAACCATCCACTGTGTACCATGGTTTCTGAGCCACAGGAAAACAAACAAGCTCGCAGAGTCTCTCTGAAGGAAGAACAAAAGAACATGCTCATGTTGTGTTCCATATCTCTGTTTTCTGCATCCTACTAATATTTCAAGTGGGTTAATTCTTCCTCATGGTTGTGATGCAGTTGTGTGCAAATACAGTGGCCAAGCAGTGGAGGAAGTGTCTGGTGATACAGTGTAAAAGCTAGTTAGAAATGACCTTAAAAGGGACAAATGTAAGTCTCAAAGCTTACTTTAATTTGGCATCATGGCTGCTGTTAATTCTACATATGGAAACTAAAATAGCCCAACAGTCTCTGGCTCTAAATAAAGCCTTGTACTTTGTCCTTGTGTAGTAACTGCATTGAACTTCACCTACCCGTCCGTGCTTCTTGTAAACTCCCTTCCCTGCCCTTCCCATGGCAGTCTGTGGGTCACATCAACACAGTGGCATCAAGGAGAAATGAGCAGGGTCTCAGATTTAACTGAACGTGGTGTCTGAGATTGAGAATCTCCTTTGCATTCTTGTTCTTTGAGTAGAAACCCACAGTTCCCTGTGCATTAAAAATTCCTTCAGCAGACACCTGCTCTAAGTACCCAGCAGACCTGGCTGTGGAGGGTGACTGCACAACCCTCCCTTTGTGCTGAGGGCTCCAGGCTCAAATGGAGAGCTGCAGTGGTGCCTACAAGTGATATGCAAACCACCCCAAAAGTCTGTTCTCAGCCCTGTTCCTGTCCCAGATTCACAGGCAGTGGACCCTGCAATGATGATGATGACGATAAACCCATTTGTGGAGGTGTTTTACCTATTTTTCTCTTTGTAGGATTTAATGGTGCTTTACAAAAGGCATTTTACAGATAACGTGTGTGTGGGGATTTCATAATGTTCTTAGGAAAAGTACATAAGCAAATTTGCTTGTAACATTTCAATATGCTGTGCTGCTATTGTCTTTATTGGATGATGTAATTTTTTTTCCATGATGGAGAAATTGCAACAAAGACCTTCTTGGAAGACCCAATCCAATGTCTCTCCCATTTGCATTTCTTTTGTGGGGCCAGCGTGGTTCATGGTGGCTGGGTGGGGAC